CCACTTTTCACTATTTATGTTATGACTCCCATGTAATAGGGGGTAAGCCTATTGCCATATACCGGGCATATTTCCAGACTTCGTGCTACTACTGAGGTTTTTTTAAAACCCAATAATACTTTACCCGATCCGGAAATCGAACTTGAAACCCCTTGCTCGGTAGTCGCACTTGCGACCACTCAGCCAACGAGGCAGTCTTATTTATTTATGAATCAATCAATTAATCTACGATAACGCTATTCAATCAAGGCTGTTCTGGTATCGTAGCATTGTTCTACTGGGTTCCCTCTCTCTCCTACCCTCGTTTGTGACCAGTAGTTTTACACTCACAAAGCGTTTTGTTTCGCTGAATTTTTTTACCCTACGTTCCGTTCTTTTGAAGTTTTTGATTGACGTTGTTCGTGGAAAATGTAGCGTTTGGTCTACCCTTCGTAATATTGTTTATAAATATAATGTGTGCTTTGATTTCAAACTATGCGTTTTTTTATAGAAGACTGTATTTTGACTTCCTGAATCATACCTCTATGTTTATGTAGTTACTTACAACTGACGGCTTCGTAATTGATTGGCTATAGTGTAACATTCAAGGAAAGAGGACTCGGGATCAAAACAAAAGAAGATCTGAAGTATTCTCAGTTTTTCGAATTTAGTGCTAGCACGGAGTCTATCCGATACAGAGCCGCGGAAGGCCGAACGGGTTGCCGGGGCTCCCTCTCGAAGAGCAGGAGTAGGAAAGGGGTGGTTTTTAGTTAGTCAGAGTCTGACACTCCCTCTCGCTTAATGCAAGGCGGGAGAAGTACTGGATGATTTTACCTCTTAAAAAAACACGAAGTCTAGAATAATGTTCAGTATATGGTAATAGACTCATCATCTTTTACATGAAATGATGTGATTATGTAACCATTTAGAGAATAAGCTCTTATGTTCAATCTTTGACAGCTAAGATTATGAATATAATGTTTATAATATAATGCATATATATAAGAACCCACTTAATATTTTCCAAAGCGATATTACGTAAATTGGAAGCGAATTGAATAATGAATAATGTAGCCATAAATCGCTACACAAGGCTTTTGCTTAATTGGACGTTATTTTTTTTTTTTTTTTTTTTATGCCATAAGCCGGTAAACGAGCAGACGGATCACCTGATGGCATAAGCAATCAGCGTCGCCCATGGACATCTAGAACACCAGAGGCGTTACAAGTGCGTCACCGGCTTTTTGGGGATTAGGAGTTTGAGGATCGTTATTTTTAATGCATAACATATACAAAACGTACGGAGGCGTGGCTGAAGTATACCTCTATAATATTTTAATAGATAATAGTTAGGTTATGATTCTCAAGTAATAAAGCTCATTACCAAACACCGGGTACAATTCCGTGTTTGGTACCTATTAAATATTTTCCGAAAAACAGAAATCTTACTAACGTAACGTAACGTAACGTCTTTTAACCCCGAAGAGGTAGGCAGAGGTGCACATTACGGCATTTTATGCCACTGTCATTGTACAGTGTTACATTGGTAACACCCACTTTTCACTATTCATCTTATGGGTCCCATGTAATAGGGCGTGAGCCTATTCCCACAATTTCAGACTTCGTACTACTGACATTTTTTTTAAAACCCCAGTATAACTTTGCCCGACCTGGGAATCGAACCCGAGACCCCTTGTCCGTACTTGCAACCACTCGGCTAACGAGGCAGTCCGAAATCTTATTAGATAATATTCATGTTTGTGTGTTTGTTACTCAATCACTCCAAAACGGCTGAAGGAATCATCATGAAATTTAGAACAGCTACGTTTTAAAACACTTGAACGCAGGCGAAGTCGCGAACAGAAGCTAGTTTAGGTAAAATTGTCTGCCTTATCAGCAATTCTTGATGTGATATATGCTTTTACAAAATTAATTTGAAAATATTTCTTCCTTCAGCTGCTGGTGGCCATTGGATCAGAAGAAAGGAGGCATTAAGAGCTAAAAGAGGTCGGCATGGTACACAGAAACTTAGAAATAGAAGACATATTGGTAAGTTCATTATTTTAATAATAATCGATCGTCGATCGAGTCGTAATCGCTACTTGAGCATTTTCTTATCGTGTTTGTTTTTCAGTTTCTGTAAAATCAAATTTCGGTAATAGCTTATATTAAACTGTCAAACACCAAGCGGTCTCCGGTGACCGCAACCTATTGTTCTATAATTGTGTCTACAAAACCGGTACTCGACGAGTTAAAGCTATCCTCAGTGCAGACTGAGGATAAGTGCCATTGCAGCAATGGCACTTTTCCAGACCCATCTAACGACATACCCAGCTTTGGGCGATGCGCGAGAGAATGTCAGACTCTTACTGACTAAAAACCACCCCGTTCCTACTTCTGCTCTTCGAGCCGGAGTCCCGGTAATCCACGGTTGTCCGCAGCTCCAAGAGAAAATGAAATCATATAAGGAGTATTTCTAAACGGTTTTATGTCTTTAGGTATCCCATTGACATTTTTGGCTTACCTATATTTCCAAGACGACTTACTTATTTACTTACAACTTCAGTCAATCATTCAAAAAACGAATATGCGATAAAATTCTATAGCAACTTGCAAAGATTTAAAAATTCTTAGAATGTAAAATATTTTACAAAATAGACTGATACCTGCATGTTCAGAAGTTCAGTGATGTGCAATGACGTAAAATGACGGACGCTCCGATATGCAACTTCAAAAGTAGACTAGAAGAGAGGTTTAGATTTTATATGTTTAAATTTTATAAGCATATTTTCTGTGTAGATATAGTAGATATATCTTCAGTACTCCGCTGGCTCGTCCTCAGGCATTTAAGTATTCACTTTTTTTGACAATACATTACATCACATAACATCATGGCTTTTATCTCCAAAGAGAAGGCAGATGTGCACATTATATAACACCCACTTTTCACTATTTATGTTATGAGTCCCATGTAATAGGGGGTGAGCCTATTGCCATATACCGGGCGCATTTCCAGACTCCGTGCTACTACTGAGATTTATAAAAACCCAGTAATACTTTGCCCGACTCGGGAATCGAACCCAAGACCCCTTGCCCGGCAGTCGCACTTGCGACCACTCGGCCAACGAGGCAGTCAAAACTAATTACTAAATTAAAACCGTTTTCATACGAAACTAAACAAAGCTAATTAAGTTAAATGTTCAATGTTTGTAACTTAAGATACAGCTTCATAATGTTATGCAGATTTGCAAGTTTATGCAAAGTGCTAGCTTCAGAACTGGCATATAACATTGTTGAGCTAATTATAAAATTAATCGCCTTTCCATTCTTCTAGTCTACTTAGTCTATGTATTAGTTTTACCTTTATATCCATAGACAGTGTCAACTCTGTATTAATAAATTCTCTATGATTCTGTGGTACAACGAGTGTAGTCTATTTAATCTAATTTCCTTTATTTAATAATAATGTCATCAAACATTATAATCGATTTTATGTTCGTATGCATACAAAACTGTATAGATTCATGTGTTCAATTGATGAATGAGCGACTTTTAATCTGGTTTTGATATCCCATTTGACATCACACGCAGAAAACACACTTGTTTTCGTTGTTTTTTAAACTGTCAAATACCAAGCGGTCACCGGTGACCGCAACCTATTGTTCTATAATTGTGTCTACAAAACCGGTACTCGACGAGTTAACCGACTTGAAACAAAAGAGGTTCTTAGTTTACTTGTATGTATGTTTGTGCGCAACTATCTCGCGATTGGCTGGACCGGTTTTCAGAAAAGTATTTGTTTCAGTAAAAATAAGGGTTTAGTATATTAATCAACCAACTTAAATAAAAGAGGGTTGAAGTCGGTTACGTTAAACGTAGTTTATAGAAGAATTATTTTGTTTCCATGTTGTTATATTTTTAGTCTATGCCTGATTACCTATATTTCCAATAAAAGAACTAATCGCGTAGCTGGTAAACAGTAGCACCTAATTAGCGGTACGTATGACCAGTACACCATGAAGTAGTGCTTGAAACACTGATATGGTAAAACAACATTATCAATGAGCGTTACCTACGCATCGATAAAAAAAACCTTGATAGTAAACACATTAGTAGGTTTTGAATTGGTTTATACACAGTAATAGCACCAAAATTCAAGTTGGGAAATATTAACACATTGGATGTCGCGTCGGATAATGATGTCCGACGCTAGCGGAGGATTAGTAAATAGATAGTTTAAACTGTCAAACACCAAGCGGTCACCGGTGACCGCAACCTATTGTTCTATAATTGTGTCTACAAAACCGGTACTCGACGAGTTAAGGGTAGTTGCTGCACAGCCATTGTAAAGTGCATCCGAAATAAACAACCTCCTATTCGAAATAAGCTTCTCTATATGAAAAATGTTAGACATCAGTTAATAAGATGTCTATCAGTCAACCTTCTACCCGCAACATAACATTTTATTCCCGATGGGGTATGCAGAGGTGTTTTTTTTTTTTTAGGGGGGAAAATCATCGAATTACTGCTCCCGCCTGGGTGAGGCGGGAGGGAGTGTCAGACTCTTACTGACTAAAAACCACCCCGTTCCTTCTCCTGCACGCCGAGCCGGAGCCCCGGTTACCCATTAGGTTCTCCGCGACATGCAGAGGTGTACATTATGTCACTGTACAATGTAACACCCACTTTTCACTATTTATGTTATGAGTCCCATGTAATAGGGGCTGAGCCTATTGCCATATACTGGGCATATACATTTATAAAAACCCGGTAATATTTTGCCGGACCTGGGAATCGATCCCGAGACCCTTTCCCCGGCAGTCGCACTTGCGACCACTCGGCCAACGAGGCAGTCTACCCGCAACTTTGTATATTTTATAGAATATCATACTATGTTTTTATAATAACTATCGTGAGACATACTAAATTAAGTAAAAACGCGGGTTACTCACGTGAATATACTGAGAAAAGCTCTACTAGTTTCGAACCACAGAGGGGTTCTTCCTCATGAGCAGCGTGCGCGGTCGCGGCGACGTCGCGCACGCTGCGCGTGCGCGTCAGTATATTCACGTGAGTAACCCGCGTTTTTACTTAATATCATACTAAACTAGACTACTGAACAGAAGAGCTATGTAGTAAATTTTATCCTATACTATAACTAGACCACTCAAGAGATATGTAGTTAAGTTTTATGTAAAATACAATGTAGTCCTCTCTACTTGGTAACTTAGTACTCTCCTCTTTGATTTAATGATTTTGTGATTACCTACTATGCATACTTCTTGGTTTGATGGCAAGAAGTAACTATATTAAATTATGTATTCAGCTGACTCACATAACTGTTTGGCGAGGAAGTCGACTAGTTTCAAGCTATGCTAGAGGCCCATATTCTCCTATCTCTAGTGCTGCTCAGTAGCAGCGCGACAGTCGCCGCGTCGCAGGTCGCAGATTGCTGCTCATGAATATGCTCATATTCACTATACTCGACTAGTTTTAATCCATGCGAGAGGCTCCTCTGGCATGAATTAAAACTAGTCGAGTTATACATAGTTCCTCGTCAAACAGGTGACTGTTTGACGAGGAACTATGTTTTCGGCTTACTCACTCATGTGACAATAGTTAATTTACTAAGTCTCACGAAGGTTTTAACTCGTCGAGTACCGTATTTATAGACACAATTATAGAACAATAGGTTGCGGTCACCGGTGACCGCTTGGTGTTTGACAGTTTAATATGAATAAAATAACAGTACCTATGTTTAAGTTCTCAGTTTTACTAATTGGGATGATGACAGGGTATGAAAATTAAAAATCTAATTACATAGTCCGTAAGTTAAGTAATGAAAAAATATTAGACACGTATTTTTATTTTGTCGTATAATAAAACAATACTTAGATAAAACGAATCAAATTTTAGGAGTGGGGGCTAAAACGTCATTTCTACGTATAAAATGTACATAGAAGTGACGTCACGCGACATTTCAAATCAATATGTCGTCGAAAGTATTCGTTTCTGCAAGACAAAAAAAACGTGTCTAATGATTTAAAATTATCTAACGGACTTTAAAGTAAAAAGTAGGCATCTACCCTATTGTCATATTCAACCCGTTCGCTTTAATGATTTCAGCAGTGTAAAGCATCAAGCTATACAAATTTTCCTATTTGGTGTATTGTAAAAGCTTTCTTTTGATAGGACTCGACATGGTGTATTTTTTCTCTAACTAGGCTTTAAGAAATCTTATAGTTATGCTGAATATCATAACACATAACATAACATCACGCCTTTTTTTATCCCCGAAAGGGGTAGGCAGAGGTGCACATTTCAGCACTTAATGCCACTGTACATTGTAACACCCACTTTTCACTATTTATGTTATGAGTCCCATTTAATAGGGGGTGAGTCTATTGCCATATACCGGGCACAATTCCAGACTCCGTGATATTAATTTTAAAAACCCAGTAACACTTTGCACGGCCGTCGCACTTGCGACCACTCGGCAAACGAGGCAGTCGATATGCTGAATATCAAATAATTTATTTCACTACATTACATCAATTGGTGATTATAATTTGGTATCAAGTACCTAATTGTATGATCATTTATTCACTTCGAAACTCCATTTAGATAAGCATGTCAACATAAAACCATTCAATATCCTATTTAACCCAAACTTGGGTCTGGTAGAAAACCAAAATCCTATTTTAAAAGCACAAAAGCTGATGTCATCCTCAGATCCATAAATTATTTCTATTGAAAAAACCGCAGTGATGCCTTAACCGCCTTGTGAAATATGGATATTCGGAATATTGAAACCTCTTTTAGTTAATAGAAGAAAGAAAGGCTATGTTTGGAGTTAATTCACTTTGTGGTCTGTTATGTTAGGCTTTAGTAATCTAATTTAGGAATCTATGACTCACACGATGAATGGTATTCTAAAGAATGCATAAAATAATCCTACATGATAGTGACATACTCTACTTTATCCACTTTTGTAGGTTGTTGTTGGGTTGAAGATCCTAATTGGGCCTCCAGTAACCTCACTCACACGA